TTTTCCTACTGATTTCGAGATCTCTACCGATGTTGAGACCGGCTCAGTGAGGGTTGCCGAGGTGATTCGGTTCTCTCGATCCACCCTATGCATTTGGAAATGCTCTGTAGGCTATCTCGAAGCTTCGCAGCAGTTCTGCTGGGGTTGTCGAGGACTCCTGCCCACCAACTTGAAAACAGTGACAGCCAGGAGAGGTGGTGAACGACGAGGAGATTGGAACATCCTAGCGGAAGAGATATGAATAGGAGTTTCAAACTCGTTAAGAAGAAAGTGCCTATTCCAAACGATAGTATTGACATCAACAGCCAGAAAAACAAAGCCGCAAGTATCCAAAATATACAGGGAAGTGGATGATATGCAAAACTTGAAACCTCGTGCGAGTTTTGAACCCACGTCTCACAAGCCGTAAGCGTGTGATAACTACTGCACCAATGAGCTCCTGCTATCCTGTACTCTGCGTTGCAATAAATACTTCATGTAATAAAGAGTTTGCAGGGATTCCACCTAGAATACCATTTATATTATCTTTTCTTGTTAATGGTCGCATCGGTTCTCTTCTTACAAGTAGTTTCTGATGAAGGCATATCGTCTTGCTGATCAATGGGAATTTTTTTGACAGGTAACAGTGTTATCTTCATAATCAGCTTGAACTGAACCCTTCAAGGATAGCGTGTATTATTTTGAAAGCGCTCTTATAATGGCCTTTCTCACCAAATGCAACTATATCACTATTCCATTGACAGTTTTTTTTATAGGTTGAGAAACGGTGATTCTATCATCAAGCTTGTGTTCCAATCACGGCCATTAGGAGTTTTGTAGCAAGCTTCGGTTTATTTTCGTCGAATGGTACTTAATGAAAAAAGACCCTTTTTGCTGGATCAAAACTTCTCATGAGAGTGTCAGTAATCAGTCGAAAGCTTGAATTTTGGGCTACTGCGCTAGGTGCTTCTTTTCTTTTGAAAGTATTGTTATGACGCTATGACAATCAAAGTAAAATTATGTTCCACACTGGCTGCGCGCCTCCATTTCTATGGCGCATAAAATTCTCTGGAAGCACTAAAAATATGTGAGCGTGTAGAGGAAATCTTTGAGTACCCGAGGCATACGTTTTGTCTGCAGTTTTTTTAAGCGGGGAAAATCTCAAATTTAATAACAGAGATGTCATTGCACATGTGAGTCGTGCCAGTGCGATCGATTAACCGCGTATCGGTCCACGGCCACGCACGTATATCATCCGACAAGCAAATGCGCGGCGTGCGTGAAACTTAGTCTTATGTCTCTGCTACACTGGAGTGAAACGGTTATCCTAGTGAAGAAGCACGGCGTTCGAATTGTCGAAACTTAAGCTATCGAATAGTTATTCACAATTCAAGGAAGAACTCTGTCCTGCGAAAAATACGCGTGCGTGAAACAAAAATCTTTTCTTTTTGTTACAGCGCTGTGAAGAAAACTTTCTGGAAGGCAAACACATTTTCGAATTTTCCGAGAATCAAGCTACAGGGCGATCACTAGTTCGGAATCCCAGCGCCAGTTGTTGTAAAGGCGACATATGCATACAATCACCTCAAACGATACTGGGTGAAGTTGAGTGCATGGCCCATCTCTCAGGGATTGATCAATGCCATAAAGTCTGTCTTTGATATTCTCTTTCGGGATATCAAAGCCCAGGAAAAACCAGTTATTCGAAAGAGTATAACGTCCCTATGAGTTTTGCGAGAATTCTCTGCTTATTTGAGACAAGAAGAATTACGTGTAACTCTTACTATTTAAAACAAGAATTTATAAATCTCCGACTGATAGCTGTAATTACCACTAATCGATGAATTTTATGATTATTCTATTTTGCATGTGTCAAATGCAACTTTGTTCCACTAACCAACATTCGTATACGGACATTTTTTGTGTCATTGAAATTTCTGAGTAGCCACATACCAGGAAAAATCATGTGGTACCGGAAATTGTAATTTTAACCCTTTTTTTTTTGTTGCGACTAGTGTGCAATGATATGTATTCAATGGCGGACATGGTCACTAGTTTTGAAGCTGTGATTAAATCAGCAATACTTCGTGAATTTGAAAATTCTACTGAGCCTCCTCTGGTCGTGCCTATTTATTATTCATTCTTTTTTCTATTTTACGTGGCCTGTTGTCGCAGCTTACTAGGGGAATCCCGCTTTTCTTGGATTCGATTTGTTTCCTCGCACCCATTTTTCATCACGGTCTTCGAATATATTGCGTGTCGCGTGGGGATTTCGTCCTCTTTTACAAATTCGTAGAATGCTGGTCGAGACGAATCTCCTTACAATCTCGAGGTAGCAGAGCTGGAGCGTTCTCTGAGGCGTTCAGTTGATTGACTGTATGAGAGTGGTGGAGATGAGATCGAAACAGGGCATTGCTTAACAAATCATTTTCACATACAGTGCATTGCTAGCCCCTTAGACTATTTTGCCTTATCTACTGATACTTATGACCAATCAGGAATTTGGTATTGTGAACACTACATCATTGTCAAGTCACTGTAATGGAAGAGAGTGGTTCATCGTGCACAGTTCTCACCGGTCCCGTACTGTAACCAAGCCATCTTCGTTGTTTTCAGGTAGGATCAATTGGACGTGGTGTGTGTGTACTGGTAGGAATTTCAAAGGATGACAATGACGATGACATTGAGTATCTTGTTCGAAAAATTCTAAACGTGAGGTTATTTGACTCGGAAGACAAACGCTGGCAGAAATCTGTGAAAGATGAAGGATTGGAGGTGCTATGCGTTAGTCAGTTCACCCTGTATGGGTATTTGAAAGTATGTTTTGATATCTGTTTTCTTCCTTATGCTAGTATCTACGCATGTGGAGAGAAAATGGCTTTCCTCCACTTTCCAGTTTCGATTTTTCTTCGCGTACACATAAGAAATGACGAACAATATAATAGATTATCAAGAAGTGAAACCTGCGTTAGAAATGGCTCAATATGCGAGACATAATGTTCAATTTCTAGGCCATAATGGTCTTGGTTAACCCAATCTTTTCTTGCCTGCTAGAGGGTAAGAGGGTTTTTTCAGAATTTAAGCATCATTGAAATTGGCGTTTCTCAAGCTATCGATTGATTACTAGAGATCTAAGAGGAAATCTCTGTTAGAAGAAAAAAAGCTGTTGATTACTCGTAAATCCAGAACGATCCACGTCTTTCATAGAAGGTTAGAAGAACGTCGTATACATATGAGAATCTTCTAGAGTGTAATTGATTTTGTCTTTGCGTAACCTCATTTATCCCCATAAATGTAATATTTGGAGTACGATTACGAGTGCTGAATAACAGTAAAGTTTTTTGTATAGTTTGTTCATCTAATGCGTTGAATTAACGCACTTAAATTTGTGCCTTTTTTTCCTGGTAAGGTGTTGTGCTGAAAGAAATTTCCACCATGCTTTCTCAAAAAAATCCAGTGACATCTAACGCACCTTCAATTGGAACGCGATATCTATGAACACCGAAATCAGTCTACATATCACGTGGGATGTGAAGAAGCTGGGGCTCAGTAGGGTTTTTTTTCGGCAGTCGTTCTATTATTCACTTTCCGGAGAAAAAGAAGGAGAAAACAAGAATTATCACATCAGTTGAAGGGCTAACTGATTGGCCTTTTAGGCTGCTGTTTAGTCGTGGTACAGAAACTATGGTACATAAGGTGTTGAGAACGTATAGCGCAAATTAGTGAATGGCTTCTTTATTTGAGAAAATATCATAAAGAACACAAATAAGCTGAATTTATCGTATTTCATTTCATGGTAATAAACTTGACTTCCACAACTCAATGAATCCTCAAGATGCTAACGTGTTTTATGGTCGCTTTATGGATAAACTTCGGTCTTCCTATTTACCAGAAAATATTCAGGTGACCTCTTAGAACTGCCTTTTTTGTGCAACTCTAGAACAACAGCATTTTTTAGATTTTTCAGGATGGTCGTTTCGCAGCAATGATGAATGTGGAAATCGTTAATGATGGGCCTGTTACAATTACGCTCGATAGTAAAATCAGAAGTTGATCTTTTGTTGATGTTCGAAAGTTGTTATCGATTCAGTGGTTGCAATAAATTTTCTTTGGAATGAGTAGGTTTTTTTGGATGTCTATATTCTAGAGTTGGAAAGCTCATGCGCTTTTTGAGTATTTCGCAGTCTCGGTTTTCTCTATGGGAAAGTTGGGAAAGCTGTTGAAATTTTTACCTAACTACCCTAGGCGAAAAGAAGAAAACACGGGGAGATCTTTCTTTGACTCAAATAATTATGTAAATAGTGGAAAGAAGCTATGATTAATGTATCATCTATGGGTAAAGAGTCATAGATGAGAAGTAACGTGGCCTCTGCCTCGTTAGATTGTCCTACCAGGAGAGGTTTAAGCCATGCATCCTTGACATATCAGAGGCTACATTTCGAACCGATTTTCATTTAACTTCGATATAATTGATCAATGTATTTTGTTTCATTAATAAACGAACACATGTTTTTACCAATCTGGCTGCTAAGTTTTCAACATCTTTACCTACTTCAGAACCGATGATCCAGATTAATGGTCTACAGAACGTACGATGGAAACCATTGCGAACCATGACTCTAAAGAGGGCAGATGCATTGAAAATTAACCTAAATGTTTGCTAGATTCAGGGTTTAACTTGTCAAGGAAAAAAGAACTTGCATCGGTTTAATTCAGCAATTTGCGCAACAGAATGGCGTAACGAGTAGGTGGAAGAAAAAATGAGACATTGGGGAAGGGATTGGAAATGGTATGGGCCAGTGCTCAGGAAGTACAACATCACGTTCTCACACGTCATGTGGACGACGATCTTTCTACACGCGATCATAGTCCATGATGATAATCCGTCTCAAACTTGGTGAAGTATTCCAGTGTCTAGTTCCCATATAAGGGAATATCTATTGAATATCATTCCATTTGTTGAACTATCAAGGAAGTAAGCTAACATAGAGATGTTGAAGAGTGAGTGATGATGCAAATGTGCCTCGGTGGTATAGTGGTACGGTACGCCTTCCCGAATAGGATGCAACGCTGGTTCGATTCCCTCTTGAGGCCGTGTTTTTGCTCACCATTCAATTCTCTTAGGTATATCGAAGAAGACCCACTGTTCGATTACTCATATTAGGAAATCAATGGTATTTTATCAACGTGATAGATGAATCTCATTCAAACTACAAAATGACCGAAATGAGGTACTGTAATAGTTGCTTTATCTGGATACTCTTCCCCTCTATTTACTCCTGGGCTCTCAAAATCTAAAGAAAGGACCTCAAGGATTTTCCACACCGATGATGATTTTGACTCGTGCGTCATTTTTACTACCACATCAGTTATCACCGTCGTGTATTTTCACCATTCGAAACGCTTATGGGGAGCGCAGTAGCATCGAATAATTCCATTACATACGTGTGATTTGACTGCGCACAATGTAGATGCTCTAGAAAAATTCCAATATTAGAGAGATGGGCTGGTATAAACCTTAACAACTGCGAGAATATGAGGATCGGAAATCATGTTATCTATTCACCGGCGCCCGCCAACAAACTAGCCAACTGGCTAATTGGTCTCTCTGTTTTGTAGGCGGTCTAGCGGATAGGATATACATTGTTTCATTCCTTATTAAAATATCAGACAAGTTGGGTATACATTAGAGCGGTAGTGTAAAGTCTTTGTGAGCCTGTTGGGTAGCCAATGTTGCAATTGCTCTAATTTTCAGAAAATCGTCCTTATTTATCGGAAAAAAGCATCATTGAACATGTGCTAAAATTAATGCTATAATAATCTTGGGAAAAATTGATTTGAGGATCAAGTTCACGCTTGTGACTCATAAAAGGTTATTACCTTTTTATTATTCATTTTACGTAACCCGTCCTGACTGTTCTTTGTGCGGACCACAACCCCTTTTGCATACGACTCGTTTCCTAGCCTTCATCCTCCACTAAGGCTTTAAAACATTATACGAATTGCTCCAGGAGTTGCTTGAGGATTTCGTCTTCTTCAAAAATGTCGTAGAATGCTGGTCGAAATGATTGTCTTCGCAATTTCGGACGTAGCCGTTCTGTCCCCAAGTGGACTAGGGCGAGTAAACTTGTCCCACAGGTTTCTGTTACAAATTTCTCGACCCCGGTGAAGGGAGAGACTTCGTGATTTAGAGGCGAGCTCGTACAGTGAGCTTTCGTCGGTTGCGCCGTTATCATAATAAGCAGGATCAAAACCACTACGCCACCCGCTTTTTTATGAACAACGATAAAGTCGTGTTTTGCGCTTAATTATAATCAAGGCAGGTTTTCAAAACCACTCATTCAAATGGTGTGTGATGTGAGATAGTATTCATATATGTATCATATCAGACTACTTAATCATTTTCAGAAAAACATTTCCATAACACTACATATATCACAACCTTACATTTTTACTTGAGAGACGACCATTAACGTTTCAGCGTAGCAAGGCACGGTTGTGGCTAGAAGAAGTGGAGATGAACTGATCTCGTCTCTTTGACCACTGTAAATACGGTCGGTGCTTTTTTCTATGTTACCGTACTCCGAGCCCCTTTGGCTCTCTATAAGTGGTCTTCGGGCTCACTTGTCGTCTATTTACTTTACTAGTGTCAGCGAAGTTAATCGATTAACACAAAAACAGCTAGTTTCGTTCGTTTCATAACGGAATGGTATTTTTCGAAACATTGTAAAATTTCGACTACTCAACTCTCCACAGTGAAATGTTGCAGCTCATATATGTCTTGGTATTCTGTCATCTACACACGAGTGCGTGAATATACCGAAAAGAATCCAATACGTGGTTTTTTTCTCACTCGTTTACTGAACATTCTTCTCGTGACGCAATTGCTTGGGTTAATGTACAGGTGAGCATTTCATCAATACCAATCACATCGATCAATATTTACTTGTATAATACGAGAAGTGAATTTACAAGTTGAAGCTGGGTACTGTGAGATCCAGAACATTGTCATTCGTTGACACAACAAATTTCTTCAGTTCAGATTATAGCTATTTCTGTGTAGTCTTGATCGTTGACGTAAAACAGTGAGAACTCCGTGAAAGACCGCTGCGATGACTTACAAAATCGGAATGAATGAATGTGGTAGTGATGATTGCGGATAATAATATTGATGTAATCGTGTTGTTAATGATGGCTGCAGATAATAGTAGTGATAGTCGTATTGTTCGACGATATTTTTAAACACGAAAACTTTCCATTTAAATCAGCATCTAATTAGCTCATTGCTACCTTCACAGATTGACTATTGGTAGTATATTATTTGCAGATGAAACGTTTTGAGGAGGTATTACGAAGGGAACGATTTGTTTGCAAACCAGTCAATGCCTGTATAACTGATGTGATGTGATCGTGAACAAAGCGAGACGTAGCTTTTCCACCAGAGTTAATCCCAACAAGTTCAAGCTTGACTAGACTTTTACTTCAACACATGACGAACCACGTCTGCCACATAGGGGTACACGCTTGTTTAAAGCTTTAACCCTTTGGGGGCGGGCGCCATTTTTGGCTGAAGGGCTGTTCGAACGGCGCGGACAGGCGTGCATCGATACCGATGCGCATCGTCTGCGAAAGTTTCAACTGTGTTGGACAAGTGAGATATAGTGAAATTTAGGATGTAGTAACAACATTATGCTCATAGGTGAACAACGCGGACTTTCTTGTAAATCTTGTAATCTTCTGAACCTTATAGGTCCTTTATTTGCTGAAAATTAATAAATAGTTTCTTGTCTAAAAAACAGCATCAACTCTTTTTGATTTTTGGACGAAATCTTTGCTTCGCTCGCCTCCACCAAATCTACGGTGATCGTGTGTGTGTTATAGACCTTGGTGGCCGTTACAGATCTCGACTCTCAAGGCACTATAATGAACCTTTAGAACAACTTTTTCAAATCCCTTCAGCCGTTTTTGACCCTTTTCCCACTTTTGAAGCAAAGGATAGAACGACGATTTTGAGAAATCAGTTCGCTGATTCTCAACTGATTAGTGATTGCTAAGTAGAAACTGCTTACAATGCAATTTAAAACCAAACTTTTTGATTGTTAAAGGTTGAAGCGCTTATCTCGTCTTATACTCTCTATATCTATAGTTATTTTTGGAGAGTCAAATGAATATTGGAATAGTAATTTGTGAAAACACTACACCATTTCCGTTATCTGGCATAGATTTTCTAAAGGAACCTCTTTTACTGAGCAGAGACTTTCTGCTAAACTTTCAGAAATCATGCGAAGTCTCAACCTCGGAGAAATGGCTTTCTCTATAGAGAAGAAACTTTGCTCTGCCGTTCTAGTACATGGGCTTCTCAATCTCATTATGCATTGTCAAAAAACTCGCTATTAAACGTAAGCCTAAGCCCAAGCCTAAGTTGCATAAGTCTAAGCCACGAGAAACATGTAAACGTGTAGAGAAAATTTTCAAGCATCAGCTCCGTATGTTTTGTCTAGATTGCTTGTCAAATCGGAAAAGTATTCTAAATGTAATAACAAGAATCGCACTACATATGTGAATCGAACCTACGTGGTCTACTGATCGATGCTATCGGTCCACACGGCGTATGTGAAACTCAATCTTATTTTAGCCGCTACAGCGCCGTACAAGGGACATTGTGAAAACCATATGAACTTTTGAAATCTTCAGGATTTACACTATCTAGTAGCTGCTAATAGTCTGGGGAAAGAGTTCTGTTTTGCGAGATATAAGCGCGATAATACTGACGCGTGTAAAATGTAATTTTATTTTGAATGCTACAGCGCTGTCAGAAGGTCTTTCTTAGAAAAGTATATTTCTTAGTTATCTGAAATTCAAGCTTCCTCATTTTTACTAGTAAATTGATGGACAGTTTTTTTTTCAAAGAAAAATTCTCCTTCCAAAATCTCTGCGCGATAACGGAAATGATCGAAAGCACTCTCTCAAGAGGGTGAAATCACATTAAAGTGATGACACTTTGTTCCCATTTTACACTGGCTATGGTTTTAGATATACTTGATACACATGCAGTCAGTCACCGCACTGTCTTAAAAATTCGCGGCAAACAATTCTAATCCTACAGGAACTACGAAAATCGACGCATTTATAGCTTCTACGTTTATATTTACATCGTATGCGGCCGTTTTCTACAGTCTCCACTTCAAGCAACAATTTATCTGTGTGTCTATTCATCGCTGGTCTTTATGGGTCTCTGGTCCCTTTTTGCTGCATTGATAGCTGGAGTGGCCAAGATACCACAAAAACTGGGCGGTGAGTTCCTCTATGTGCAATCTCTTTCAATCATGCACTACTTGATTCCGTTCGTCAAAGTTTATACTGTTGATTAGGATAAGTGCCTAAATATTAGTTACTGTTGAAATATAGCCACGGTGAGCTGTGGCCGAGCGGCTAGTGATACAGAAATCCAAATAGGAAAGATGATAGTTCGACTCCCTCACTGTTCCCCCTCCACCACTTCTCAACGCCTTTCTACATTCACATGGAAAACTCTTATTTGGCTATCTTTATAATTGCAAGGAGGTTTTACTTGACAGTGATTCTACGGCAGTTATGAAGAAGACAAGCTCCTCAAGCAGCAAGCAAAATAACACAGGAGTTTTCGAAGACTTTTAGGACGATGAGCATGGTGAAACAAATCGAATGCGAGAAGTTATGGGATCCACTTAATAGAATATCATGGGTGGTTATGTGATAGAATAAATATTGGCTTACAATAGCTGTACTAGACGGGAAACTTCCTTCACGAAGATTGGGGCTGACACAGCGCTCATTTATGAAAATTAGAGTATCTGAATTCTCCAGCTTTTTTGAATAATCGGCAGTCGTCTTTACTAACCTTGAATGACCAAGCCTATGCGGGGCAGGCGAACGGTATACAGAGCTTGATTAAGAAAATAATTTAGACGAGGAAAATCTTGCTTAACTTCAAATCATATCTACGGTTCAATTTTTTGCATATTCGTTGAGCATTGTATGCTGATAAATTAGGAAAACAAGAAGTTCTTAATGTACTTGATGAATGCGACACTCATTGCTAGTCACTGCAAGGA